CTGAAAGATGACTTGTCGCGAATAACAGTGTTTGAGCTTCATTTAATTGGAAAAAAGATTGATGCATTTCCACGGAACGGACCCATTCATCTATAGCCATAGCATCACGTGCGCCGGAATACTCCTTAGGTTCCTTCAGCTTGATTTGAGGCATACGACTATCGGCTGCACTCATTGACCCAGTTGATGACTCCATTACTCTTTGACCCAGATTAGCCATAGTATTAGCTATTGCACTCATACTAGCACATAGGTGTTGGTTGACATCTTGCTGAGACATTTGCGGTTGATTTCCGGGGTTGGGCATTTTTGTTGACGTCACAGGAAAAACAAAGATTACGAAGATTCCCCCTTTTTTTTTTTTTGAAAAACTATTTTTTGAAATAGCACGTACAGTACTTGACGATTTAGATTATAATAACTATCTTCTTGAACAGGTTCAAAAGATACAGATATACGGCGTAAAGACGGTCCTCTTGAAAGGTATATAAAAAAATGTATGCTTTATAACCAAATAGACACGCTCTTCGCAGGAATAAACTTGATGACAACTTTTTCAAAAACCAGAAAAACGTTGCTACTGTATGAAAACAAGATGGTTTATCAAATACAGGTATTGAGTGATATAAAACTGGTGCTACCAATGTCAGTCTTCGATATTGCTTAGGCTGAATATGAAAACTGATGTGTTCCAGATATTTGTCAGTAGGGAACTTATACTTTGATTTAAAAAAGGAAAAGAAAGTTATTTTATTTATTTTTAGATTCAGAACCTATTTTATCCACTTGATTCTTTGGTCTTTTTCTCCGGCCCGGGTTAACTGGTTTAAACTCAGGCTTAGTATGTTTAAGCGCTGGTCTATTGGCTGGCCTGACAAAGAGAGCGCTTCCTTGGCTCAGTTGGTAGAGCGTTAGTCTCATAATCTGAAGGTCGGCGGTTCGAGCCCGCCAGGGAGCAACTTTTTTTTTTTGTTTTAGGTGTCGGAGTACAAAACATAAACATATTGATACAATGTCAGTGTCCCACTTATTTTAGTAGAAACTCCGTATCAATTATAAAACTTATTCAGAATCTCAATTAATAAAGATCATCCTTTTTACTACTTCATTACTAGTCTACATACACATTAAACCCAAAAAGTCTTAAAATACTATTAAACTCTGAAAATATTCTGAAAAAACACTTAAAAAACAATCGGAGAACTGAATGAATCAAAAAAGTCGTTAATTTAATGTTTGATGTTCAGGAATTATTCAACAAAAAGTTATGAATTTCATGACTATTGTAACTGCCATTAAAAGGTCACTGAAAGCGTTGAATAGTTCAGCTCCCGCTAACACTATTTTAATTGATTTAAGGCAGGAAGTTAATAAGTTGACGGGGATGCTGATTTTAATAAAAACTTCCGCATAATTTAATCTTATAAAAAGCTTCACTAAAGTTTATTAATACGACACTTTTTAATCTTAAACACTTTATTTTAAAAAAGAGAAAAAATAAATAAACCTATGGAAAGCTTAACTCTGCGTAGCCGGAAAAGTAATCATATTCGCCTATTTGCAAATATATTCTTCTCATTTCGGGCCAAAAGAAATATATCCTGTTCATATTCTCTAAATTCGAGGTTAATCCGCCTGCCGTACATAGAAGGTCTTCAACATCTACTACTTCTAGAACTGTACATGGGTTAATCTCGTGGCTATTACATCTTTCGCTAATATTGCAATATGGAATGCCCGTTAACCCCACAGAAACGTTTTGGTATATGTGTATAAGTGCAAGTCTCTTTGTTATTTGATAATGAACATGCTCAAAAATCATAAGCACTTTTCCAATATATGGTCTATCAGCCTCATTTGATTTCACAACTGCATATTGACATAATCGACGTTTTTTATGTGCAACGAGAATCGAACTATCAAATGATCTATATTTCTCAGAAAAAACCAATCTTTCTGCACAAGCGACTTCCTTGGAAATATTTGATGATGCAGTCTTCAACTTTCGTGATAACAATAGCAACAGATTATACTTTTGGAACTTGTCTACGTCAGAAATAATATCGAATTTGCCGAACGGATGCATCAATTCATTATAAACATCAGTGCCCAAACTTCTTTTGTGATAATTGTTATGAGCATCATGTATAAATATATTCTCAGCGTTTTTTTCAGGCAAGCGGGTACTTTTAATTTTTTTCTTCATTCTCTGGATTCGTCGCTCCATACTTCTGCAGCTAATTTGTCGCAGAGGTCCCATTGCTCTTATAATACTTGTGATATGAGTGAGATAATGTTGATTTATGTTGAACTGCTCAACAGGTAGATTGTCCCGAAAAAATGATAGCCATGAGTCTATATTTTTGTCGATTTCTTCAAGTTCACGATCGGTTATTTCATATTGGGTGGCAATGGAACATACTAATGATATTTGTTGTAACGCTTTGATGGCCGTATTTAATGCCTCGGTGTCTTTTTGGTCTATCGCACGGCATTGCTTTTGCTGATATTCGAGTTGTTCTACAACAAGAGTTGGAACTACGTACTTCAAAAACATCATATAATCAACACCTCTGATACGACCGGTATTCTTGAACACATCCTTAAGCTCGCCTTCGAAGATGTTTGGTAGGTATCTTCCTTCATCCGAAATATTATTGCCGAGCATTTCATAGTATTTCTTGGCCAAACGCAATATACCATTTTCAGTAGACTGTAGGAAGTCTCGAATTTTGGTGCTGATATTCAATCCAAATAAATGAAATTCATCGATTCCCAGAAAATAAATGCTTTGAAATGATGGCAATCTTCCAAAAATAGATGGCTGCTTGATTCGACGATTTGGATCACCTTGTTTATATTCATCAATTGTTCGAAGTCTAAGTGACTCTTCAGTCTTATTTGCGGGGGTTCCAAAACACATGCGATACTTCATTCGAGTGGACTTTATAGTATAAAACCGGCATGGCCAGTATGACGAGTGTCCACTTAGATAGTTTACTTCTGCTACTGATGGAATATCTCCAAAGGACCCAAGAAGATATACTTTGAGATTGTATGTAGTCTCATTAACGTGAACCGTCATGCCTCTGATAGCTAATTCTTCTAATTCCGCGACTGCAAAACGTAAATAGCTTGTGAGGTTGCTTGTCTTTGGAGCAAATCCAATGTCAATGATATTCTCCTTTTTAACTCTATTTTAAGTCTTTATCAGTTAGAGACAGAAAATTTGTAGATCTATCCAATTACCTCTCAGTCTCTGGAAGATTTAAAATTTGAAGATGAATTGTATTTAATTTTACGCCTCCTTTGTTCAGTGTCTGGAAACCATCATTGAATAAGATCAAGGCAATATCATATTTTCCTTGTAAAAGGCCTTGTTCCTGAAGCTGATTTATATAGGATCCTTTGATGATACTGGTGATAGGTTTCTCGCACTGTTTTAGAAAATCTGAGTTGGTGAACAACGACGCCAATTGAGGTGCAATCCGCAGCTGCTTTGTGGTTCGTCTTGGCTTAGAAGTGGAATTGTATAATGTGTACCTTTGCTCATGGCACTCAGGACACACGAGTTCACTTTTATCCGGAAATACGTAGCAAGCGTTTATACACGTTTCAAGATCTAATGGTCGGAATGGTGCATCATGCTTGACCTTTGTTTTGTACGATTTGTACGAAAGAAGAGGGGTCTGATCTGTTAAAAAAGCTATAAGAGAAGTGTCCAATTTTGCTTTACAATTTCTGCTTACCTTTGCTCTTTTGATTATTGTACCAAGCAATAATTTTGTCAATTGTGCCCTGTTTAATATTATCGTCTTCAAAAATTTTGTAAAGTTCATGATTCTTTTGGTCAACACCAAGACGATTTCTTTTAGGGTCTGTAACCGTGAAAGTTGTACTATCTGAATACAAATAGACTAATTCTTCTTCATATCCTCCTTCCTCTTGATTCTCATTAGCCTCAAAATTGCTATCATCAAAGTCAAAGGATTGCCAGGTATTAATTCCGTTATTCTCTTGGTTTACAGTTTGTGGTGCTGCGGATAATGTTTCTTCTGTTACTGTTCTACTTATGCATTGCCCTGTTATTTCTGCCGATGTAATTGTTGTTGGTTTTTTTGTTGGTAATGCTGTTGTTGTTGTTGTTTTTGTTGCTGGCGTTGGTGTCGTCGTGATTGTCACGGATGCTTCCCCGGACTGGTGAACACTTTCAGAAGACACTCGCTTTCGCTTCAAACGCCCAGCCTTGATGCGGCTATGTATAATATTTATTTCTTCCTCGCTTCTTTTTTTTTCATGTTCACGGAAATGAACTGCACGGTTTTCGTCCCGCACTTGTTTATAGCAGATTTTACATTCAAATGGCATTGACAACTTGGGAATAAAGTGAAACGTATTTTATTTTATGAATGTAAAACTTAAGGTGATCCGCCAACAAGATTCAGCAGTCACATTAGGTTTAAAAAAAATTTTTTGTTTGATTTATAAAACCTCTTATTTCGTGTTCCAAAAAAAAAAAAAAGAGATGCCACCCAAAAAATCCAAAGATTCGGAAGTCTTAGAAAAGATAAGCTCGTTGGAAAACATATTGGTCAAGAATAATGAGATGGTAATCGCTTTGGAACAAGATTTTTGTCAGATTCAGGAGATGTTGCGCCAAAACACAAATGGATTGGAAGCCATGCAAAAACAGATGACTAGTAATCATGAAACTGACAACTTAACCAGTAATGCGACAGCAAGGGAAAGCCGAAGTAAAATACCAGTACCAACAGTGACAGGGCCAGATGGAAAGTTGAAAAAACGTAAATTGTTAAAACGTGACATATTGCAAGCTCTATCCCTACTGAACCCGGACGTACAAGATACTGCTCATATTTATGAAACCATAAGAAGCTGTGCATATTATAGGGTGAAGTCACTCATAAGCGTTACTTACAAAAACCATCCTCCGTCGTGGAGTCAAGTTTTACCATGTTATCGTCGAGAGATTATTGATATTCTAAACGCAAGAGTATTAGAAATGGACGTGGATTTATCACTTTGCGAAGAGGATTGGGTCGCGTTATATCTAGTTAAAAGGTGTTACCAGAACAAGGAGAAATACATGAGGTATAATGTCCTAATACATGTTTTAAATACGTAACTAATGCATTGTAATTATGTAGCTCATCAACAGAAACTGAAGAGCAAGAGAATGATCAACAAGAGCAACAACAGGTATTAAGCAAATATTGATTTAGTTAATGTATCTTTTAATAATATGTTTTATACAGGAGAGTACGGGTAATGACAATTAGTTTTTTTTTTAGAAAAACCAGAATTAAGAAGGTAAGCATAATGTATAGTAGGAATCTTAGTGCTAAATAGTATTTAAGGTACTGAGTAAGTTCAGCTTTGCTGTTCATCATTGTGATTTGAATAAAGTATTTCGACAAAAATAATAATAATAAAAAAGTATCATTTTACCCCAAAAAAATTTGAATGAATAAATGATTTGAATAATATTAAAAATACGTTGAAATCTATGAACTGAATACAATAAATTCTGTCTGTTTAAATAAGTTAACGCATTGAACTGAATGTGATGAGAATAGCATTGAAATTCATTAATATTGTCAGTGTAAATTTTACTTAAACTACCCCCCTTCCAGTGTTTTCAGTTCAATAAATTTTAATAGTTTTGTCAGTTCTTTTCGACTTAAGGTGATAACTATATCTATTATAAATCTTCTGACATCAGTAGTAATGATTGGTTGAGATTTAGTTTTGACAGTAAGGTAGTGTTACAATGCGGATTTTCAACAGCTATTTTTTTGACTTCAAACCTAAAATTTATACTCAACCAAATTTATTTTCTATTAAGCTAATGTTTAGCATTGTGTTGCAACAGCTTATAACCTTTTCCTTTTCTA